GGACAGGGAAGGTTCCAGATAAAGGGGAGGGGTTTAGGATGACTGACTAGGACAAGGGCGGGAAAGGGAAAAACCATTATGTACTTAACTTAGGGGAACGAAACTGGGACGAACCATCAACACAGAAGGAAAATTAACATTAAACAACGCAACACAACATCTCCCCCTTTCTTTTTAAACAGAAGTGTCATTTCAAAGTCCTCTCCAGAGGTGAGCCCATCCTTCTCTTCCTCAACTGCTTTCATGTCTTCACCAGTTGGGGGATCTTCGAGATCCCAATCCAGGATAGGCCCCACCTCTGCACGGTTAACTTGAGGTGATGGGGAGATGCTGCGGACAACTAAGGTCTTAATAATGGGGATAGCAATACAAACGAGAAAAATAACAAGGACAATAGAAATAATGGTTTTGACAACTGAAGCCAGCCAACCCGAAAGTCCCCAGCCTTTAAAGATGTTTCTCAGCCAGTCTTCAGATTCCTCCTTGATGTTCGTGACAAGACCTTGTATTTGCTGTATCTTGGAGTGGACACTGCTGCTCCGAGATGACAAGTTGAGACAACAGAGGCCTTCGAAGTCCTCGCAGACGTGGCCATGCACAAGCAACAGGAAATCTATTGCTGCCCGATTTTGTAGGGTCGCCTCCCTGGAAATTTCCTCATCTGCTAGGAGGTCGCTTAAGGCTGCTGACATAAGGTTTGCCTGGTTCACTACCTAGCACTCTAGGCGGCCCAATTCACCTAGGGCTTTAGCCGCTGGCACCCACAGTAAAAAGATGGAGACAGCAACTCTTTTGGACTTAGACCAATGAAAAACATCTGCATTACAATTTTCGTCCAAATTATGAGCCTCTCTCTTTTGGATCACCGATTTTGTGTTTTTAGATTTCCAATTCAAAATTTGGGTACAGTTAGGCGAAAACAGGGTCAGTCGTCCAAGGGTGCACGGCCCTCCTATCAGGCGAGAGGGGATGCCTGCCCACGCCCGGATCGCCACAGATCAAGAAGAACCCCTTACCTAGCTGGAGAGGTTGGTCTACAGGGGTCCCCTCAATCTGGGCGGTGGCATTGCACCACGCAGCAACTCTACAGTCAAGGTTGGGTTGGATAACGTTTAGCTATGATGCGGGGTTGGACCATCTATAATGATTCTGAACACAAAAAGGGGATGGGGCCGAACCAAGCAACTCTAATTCCTGAGGTTCCTCGGGTGCTTTGGGAAGGTCTTTAGACCACTCCTGCCACACCCAGAGGGGGTTGGTCATAGGATGGGAGGCATAGGAGGTGTGCCACCGACGGGGGTCAAAATCATCCCGAATGTGGATGATTGTCTTGGGATAGTCGTCGGGCTGAAATGGGATCCCCACCAGGCAGGTTGAAAGTGGATTCCCTGTTGCCACAGTTGATAAGCAGAGATGGTCCTGCTGCATGGCCTGGGCCAGGGTGACCCACACATTCTTCCTTGGCTGCGGGACTATCCACTCCACCGAAGACTGGCAGAGGCACGCCCAGATGACAAGGGCATACCACATCCTGGGGCTCCAGGTGGCTGACTAAAACAGAACAGGAAAAGGGAATGGGTTACTCAAATAGATCCTGAACTTCAGGGGGAGGAAACAACTTGGAGAAGGGGCTATCCCGCCCGCTGGGGGACCCTTGGTGTTCCAGGGAGGGGCATCAGCGACGACGAAGCACTGCATATTTGACATCTCCGGAGGTTGGCCCTGACAGATGTCCCTCACTGGCAGTATAGGGCCGGACCCACCTTTGAGGGACCCACCTCAAACCAAAGGGCGTGGATACGCAAGCGTACCCACGACCCCAGGTGACTAACTCATGTGGGCCCTCCGTTTTACTGGTCTCCAAGTTCTTCACCATCACGGGAGGGTGTTTTCTCAACCGTAATGATGAAGAGTTCGTGAAGTGCCTCACAATGGGAGGACTCAACACTTCGAAGGAGCAGTTAAGAAAGTTGATGGTAAAAAGGGCTTTATGCAATTTAGTATGAGGTGTATCGAATTGAGTATCGCCCTGTTGCTCCTCCAGGACCCGTTTGAGCATTTGGTGGGCGCGCTCAACCATTCCCTGACCTGCAGGGGAATACGGGATGCCAGTCTTATGTTTGATTCCCCACCTCTGCAGGAACTCCCGGAAGGCCATGGAAGCATATCTGGGCTATTGTCCGATTTCAATTCCCTTGGGATCCCCAACACAGACAAGGCCTGTACAAGGTGTTTCTGTACGTCCTTGGCCTTCTCCCCTGTGTGGGCAGAAGCGAAGACTGCCCTGGAAAAGGTGTTCACACTCACATGTACATATTTCAACCTGCCGAACTGCGGAACGTGGGCGACATCAATCTGCCATAACTCACAGCTCTCCAGGCCTCTAGGATTGACGCCAGAACTCAGGGTTGGCACCCCAAGATTCTGGCACTGGGGACATGTGGCCACAATGTCCTTGGCCTGGTCACGGCTTAGTTGGAATTGCCATACCAAGCCAGGCGCATTCTGATGGAATTTCTGATGGCTCAGCTTTGCCTGTTGGTAAATATCAGGAATCCTGGCCATATCAGCTGGTGCAGCCAGGATGCCCGCTCTCTGATTACCCTCGGCGATAAAGCCTAGCAGGTCTGTGTGCGATCTTACGTGCATCACGAAGTACGGATGCTCTCAGTGGGAGACAGCATATATCAGCTTCGAGAGCAGACCGTGGAGGTTCGGATTGGAGGCTTCTTTCAAAACAGCGTTCTCTGCCCTTGACACCACACCCGCCACATAGGCCGAATCTGTAACCAAATTAAGTGGCTCTGAGAACCTCTCGAAAGCTCTAACGACTGCATCTAACTCAGCTATTTGAGGGGAACCCTCAACAACCTTAACATCTGCCTCCCACTGCTGAGTCTGGGGGTTCTTCCAAGTCATGACTGACTTGTGTGAAGCCCCAGATGCATCTGTAAAAACAGTTAGAGCTTTGAGCGGCACCCGGCTCAATTTTTCTTTCGGGACCAGATTGAAATTTGAATTAAATAATTTATGACTTTAGTGGTGGACAGATGTTTGTCCTGTGTAGCTATCAAGGGCAAAGAGAAGAGTATCATTCTCCCGGAGCAAATGCTCCAAAACCTCCTTAGTCAGCTTGCCCAATGATAAGGCAAGTGGTACTTGGATGAACGCAAAATCGCAATCCCCAGCTCTCGCAAACGGGCCCTGGCCTTCCTGATCAGCTGTGCCATTTGGACCTCTGATGACTGAGGAACACCCACTCTATAATCAAGAGGGGGTCCCTCTGGTCCTGGTTCCATTGGTAAATAAGGCCGTGGAGGTGCGGCAGCCGTCCCAAGATAATAAACTCAAATTGCAGGTTTGGCAGGTAGCGATGGGCTTGTCTCGTCCCCATCGCCTTCTCTACCTTTTCCAGAGCTGTCTTCGCCTCTGGGGTCAGCACCCTAGGAGAAAGTAACTCATCTCCCCCTTTCAATAAATTGAAAAGGGGAGCTAGGTCCTCGGTGGTCAATCCTAGCCAGGGTCTGACCCAATTCAATCACCCACACAGCTGGTGGAAATCCGCAAAGGTTTTTGGCTTGGTGTTAATTGCCAATTTCTGTGGGACAATGGCCCTGTTGGTAATTTGGAGCCCGAGATACTTCCACAGGGGCATCCTCCGAACTTTCTCCTTCTGGAGCTCAAACCCTGCAGAGATTAAAACCTCAATGACAAGGTCAAGGACATGCTGCAGTATGTCATCCGTGGGGGCACAAATTAGCACATCATCCATATATTGCAGGATGACGGCCGCCCCTGCCTTGGCATGGACAGGAGACAGCAATGAGGCCACGTACCATTGACAAATACTGGGGCTGTTCTTCATGCCCTGAGGCAGTACCCGCCAATGGAAGCGCCTCATTGGGGCTTCCCGGTTGATGGAAGGAACCGAGAAGGCAAACCGTGGTCCATCCACAGGGTCAAGGGGAATTTGGAAAAAAACAATCCTTGATATCTAGGACTGCCAGATTCCAATTTTGCGGCAGCATTGACGGTGAGGGCATACCTGGTTGCAGAGACCCCATGTCTTCTATCTTTTTATTTATTTCACGAAGGTCGTGAAGGAGCCACCACTTGTCCTTCCCCGGCTTTTTGATGACGAAGACTGGAGAATTCCAAGGGCTCCAGGTTGGCTCGATGTTACCTTTGGCTAACTGCTCCTCCACGATTTTGTTGAGTACCTGCAATTTTTGTTTGTTAAGCGGCCACTTATCTATCCATACTGGTTCATCAGATAGCCAATCCAGTTTCTGGACAGGGCGCTCCACAGTGGCCGCTAAGAAAAATCCCGGGGGTTTTCGGGATCTCAATACGAACACCCCATTGCGACATGGCGTCTCTGCCCCACAGGAGAGCTTTATACTCCATAACAAAAGGGCGGACATTAGCCACCTGCCCTTCAGGTCCCTCAAGTTTAATTACGCTTTTTGACTGCCGAGCCAATTGGGCCCCCCCGACTGCTTGTATTCTGCCAGCCACAGGTTGCAACTCCCAATGTGACGGCCAATTCTTGGTTGGTATAATTGTTACATCTGCTCCTGTATCGAAGAGTCCGTCGAGGTAAAAGTAGTCTTCACCCCGACAGAGTCCGCATCCAATGACTGGTTTATCCTCACCAATGACTTCCGCCCAATAGACACAGGGATTAGCCGGTTTCGCCACGATGGTGTTGGGCACCGGAATCGCCTGCGCTACTAGTTGTTCCTTTGGCAGGAAGTATGGTGGCTGGATGCACCGTGCCAGGAGAGAGAAACCATCCGGACACAAAAGCTCCGTCTGCGGCACAATTTCAATCTCCGGAGGGGTACACTTAGTATCCCCAAGTACGACACATGTGCAGTCGAGTCCGGCAAACAAACCCGGTGACGTGGGCTTCACTGACACCAACCGCCAGTCCTGTGTTTCAAAATAAGTGTTATCTGTCAGGGCCAAGCTCAGGGAGGGACGAGGAGTCCACCCTGGCACTATTCGTCGTGTTTGGTAAATGTTGGATCCAGTGGGAATGTCACATCCAGTATTAGTTTAGCCCCCCCCAAGGTCCCTCTCGCGGCCCGCCTCATTTTTGTTTTCACGTGAGGCAGACTCACACTCCCCAGTTAGGTTTTTTTGGCTTGTGTGTTTCCTCCCACCTCCCCCTCCCCCTGCTGGTTATCGATTTTATTTTTAAGAGGGCACATGTGCGCGATGTGACCAAACTGGTTGCAAAGGAAGCAGCGCACAGGGAAAGTCTTTGCAGCTGCAGTCATCGCCGCCATCTTCACTCCTCCTCTGGTGGGAATAGGTGGCGCTGGCACAACTGCGCGCTTGACACAGGCCTCCACTATAAGCTGGAGAGACGGCTCAGGGTAGAGAGGGAGAGATGTTATAACCTGTTTACATGCATCGTTAGCATTTAACTTTATCATTTCGATTATTAGTTCTTCTAGGGTGTCCTGGTTTTTCACTTGCTTTTCAATTTCTATCTTTAGCCTCTCCACGAACTCAATGATAGGTTCCGCCGGCCCCTGTTTGATTGGAGACATAGTGGACACGAGGCTTGGTGGTCAGCATCACCATGAATGCCTTCTTGGCAGCAGCTTGAATTTTTAAAATCACAGGCTTTGGGATTTTTTCTGCCTGTGCTTCCGCCTGGGACCACTGCCCTTCGCCGCACAAATGACCCATTGTGATCGGCTTTTGGTCTGCGTCAGTGGCGCACTCGGGGGTCTGTAAGACCTCACGCAGGAGTTCCCCTAGCATCCTTTTCCATGTGTCCTCCCACAATCTGTATTCAAATGATAGGAGGAGACATTTAAACAATCCTTTCAAGTTGCTAGGGATCAAGATATTGGAGGAGAAAGTAGCTTCCAATAAGCCTTTAAAATATTCGCTCTTTCTCCCGAACGCCTTCTGTGCCTTACAGAGCTCCTTTTTATGGGAGTATTCAAATTGCCGCCAATTAG